ATAATATAATATATATATATATATATATATATATATATATATATATATATACAAGTACAATATGTATAATGATCTATATATGTATATAAAGCAATAATAGTGAACGAAAAAAGAGCTACTTATAAAAATAAAAATTTTTCTATTAAAAACTACTGGAACTAGTTTAAAACTTATATTTATTTTACAAAATATTCAGAAGAATGCAACTTTGTTTATATAGATATATATTAATTATAGGTATTATAGATATTAATTACATGATGTAGCTTCGAACATTTTGTAAAACAAAAAGCAAGAATTTTAAACGCATTTCCTTCAAACAAGATCCTTCAAAGAAGATTCTTGCTCATTTTGTGCTCATTTACTCCTTTTTTTTCGATCGCCGTTTCTCAATTAAACTCGCGGTTTGTACAGGATGCGTTTACCACGATGCACTCTCAGTACTATCCGTTTAGTGCGAAATGCAATAATGGGAGCGATGCACACGTGCGCAAAACGAGGTTAATGCAAGTTAAAGTGCCAGCCCGTTTCACAGTGGAACGTTAAGGCTAATGCGGAACCGACCGACTGCCCAATGATAATACATAGTGGATATTAAGTTTGCGGCTGGGACTAGTATGGGGTAACTTCGCCTTATAGTAACTTGTTCGCTAGATAAACGAAAGCGATATTCTTTGCAAACGATTTGAAATGGTTTTTGTTCCATGCCGTGCGACATGTAACGTAATATATGTATTTTTTAAACGAGAGGAATGTTATGAACGAGAAATTAAATTTTCCAAATGCATTGAATGAACACGTAGAAACCGGTTTATCAAAATAGTAATTACTCTTCTTAATCTGGACTCTGGCATCTGTAGACCAGAGGAAAAGTGACTAGTTTCGCATGCGTGATGCGGGTACATGATCCCACGTTATTAATAACTGTTATGTTAATTCGTATCAGCTTCTAAGATAAGTTTGTAGTTAAATCTTTTTATATCACAGTTAAATGTAGCGTGAGTATGACGAACCTCATTTAGTGTCACATGTGCAGCATAAGTATGTTAAACGAGCCGTATTAACTCTCGAATTCTGATGAAGCAGCGGATAAAGACGAGTCACCGTGCATCAAAAGAGGCGCCAGGAGGAATCTAAATTTCAAACTTTTGTATTTTTCCTTCGGATATTTACGGCTATGATGAAATGACGGCATCATTCAACAGTCCGTCTTCTAATCATCGACTTAGACGAGAAACTTGAGATTAGACGCGAAGATGAAATTATGTAGATAAATCATTCTTTTAAGAAAATTGAAAGCATGTATATTAAATGTATGTTTTTAAATATACAAACATAGACTGAATTATTGATAACTTTTTAGACTTTCGGAATGTAGATTGTTAGGAAATGTAAATATAAAAAAATTGCATTACTGTATTATTTATTTTTCTTAAATTTTTAGAGTTTTTGAAACTTTTATGGATTAAAAGATTCGACTATCTCAGTTACATTGTTTTAGCAACTATTTCAACGACAACGGAAATATGTTGCAAATGCCAAGAATAAATATACGCTACACAGTATGCAAAAATGTAAGTAAGAGTTTTAGAAGGATATTAAATGCTGTGGCAAACGTGTAATATCTGTAAGAAAACCTGTCATTTCTTTACAAATAAATTGTAATAAAGCTACAAAGTGTTTCATTTCTATGTCCAAAATTTTCTAAATATACAGATTTTCTCGATCTTATTATCATCATTATATCTATTTAAATCGATGACAAGAGAACCTGTGCATTCGGAAAATTTTGGACAAGAAGAAGAGATATTTTGTAACTTTGTTGCAATTACTTTGTAAAGAATGATACTTTCCTACAAATATTCCAAATATTATGTAAAGTGCTAATTTAGAAGAAGAAAATTTAATTTATATAAAGAATAGATTTTACAAAATGATAAATGATAAATTTTACGTATAATTTTTACATATTTCTAAATATAATTCGGTATCATATGAGATATACGTCACGTCTTTACCGAGATGTTATCGCTATATGGCAATATATATATATATATATATATATATATATATATATATATATATAGTAGTATATATTAA